TCAGATAGGTCATAAAAATGGTATGTAGCTCCACCCTGTTTGTTTGGGATACTTGCCATTGGAATTTAACTACCACGCTGTGATGAAGTTCAAACATGACCACAGGAAAGATCATATGAAGAGGCCACATTTATATCATTTCCTCTGTTTTAGTGGAGGTAGCTGTAAAGTTCTGTCCAGGCTGTGGGGAGGAAAACTGTTCCCAGCACTTAGTGAGAGAAGAGTGAAGGTCACATTGCAAGAAACGTGTGTGACATGGGAGACATTATTGCAACCCATTTTTGGGAATTACAACACACCACGGGTGGCAACTAGAAAGAGAGGTGGAGTCAAGAGTCATCCTTGCTTGTTCTAAATAAGAGTGAAATAAGCAAGCTTGGGAAATATTCTATTTAAATGAAAAAACTTGAATACACAAGATAAAAATAAGTCAGTAGTATAAAGTTCCTGCAAAGGTGGGAGGGGTTGTGAACTGAAGTGGAGCTGGGATTAGCCTAGGATAGCTCCTTTATTGTACTAGGAGTGGGAATATCGAATGTTGATGCCTATTGATGGGTATTGGGAGGTTAATAACCTTCAGCCTTTTCATTTTTTTCATAATGTACCAGAAAAAGTCAGAAACCAAGTCTAATTGAACGTGAAGAGGGCACAGGGCAGTTTGAAGAGAGAGGCTAACATTTGAAAGAGGCATATGAGAAGGTGATCAGGGTTGATGCAGTGGAGGATGTGGCTTGTGAATTCAGAGAAAACCACATCTTTCCTGCTCTAAGATTCTCTCCAGAGAGACTGCTACATAGGTGCAGAAGTAAAAACATGAATAGTTTTGTCCATGGTTAGTTTTTTGCCACATAGACAAAATCAGAAATCAGGGAAGAATGATAACAGTATTGGCAAGAATGTTGTTGAAATATTGGCCCATGACATCTAAGAAAGATGACTCTAGAACACAAATAAATTAAAACAAAGCCAAAGACCCAATGGACCCATGTTGTTGTTGAAGTTGATAAGTGGTCATCATGGGAGTAGCCAAAGTGGAAAGAGCAGCAGTTATGATCAGAGAATGGGATGGTCTGACAATTTCAAAGGTGCAGTAGTTATGAGGTCCAGGGATTGGAATTAAGGGATGAAAAGGAATGACTGGGGTACAGGGAGATGAACACCCCACAGATGAGAAGGCCAAGAAACTGAAAGGCTAGGGCATTGGATGGCAATCTGACATCAAAAACCCAAGTCTGATGGCAGGCCTTGAGGTTAAAGGATTCCATAATGCACACTGATGAAGGGATTAAGTGATGAATGACAGAGTCGGGAAGGAATGGTCTGGCTCAAAGGCCAGGCTTCAGGAAGCACACAAACAAGCCTGGGACTATACAGATGATAGTTCTTAAAAACCTGAAAGCATAACACATATTTTGGAGATAAAACATAGCTATTCCCCCAAACTAAAAACATAATCTTTATTATAAGCATGCTGCTTTACTGCCAAAAATTAGGTTGGGAATATTATTCCAACAAAAATTGTAACTTTCAATAACAGTGTAAGTTTCTAAGACTTTAGGGGGCAGACTTATAGGCATTCAATATGATTTTGGCAAATTTGGGGAAGGATAGAGGATTTTCATGAATTAAAGTTAAAATTCTACTGAAATGCACTAAATGGAGAAAATTTAGAAAGATTAAAAATTCTGGAGATAATATTCCACATGAAAAATAATATTAAAAAAGAAAAACATCCAAAGTTACTGTTTCATAATATGATTAATTATATTTTCCTAGGTTTGTTTTGGAAATGTGAAGGCATAATAGAAAAAGATTTTGAGATCTAGTATATAGTCCTTAGTCCATGATTAAATAAGTGACTTTAGCAAAGTTACTTTTATGTCTCAGCTCTGTTTCCTTATATTTTAATCAGAAGGTAGACATTTAAGCTCTCTATATTATCATTATACATTAATTTTGCAGAATACTATTAATAAATCCATTAATTCAAGCAATATTTATTAAGTCTTTTTGGCAATTAAAATACACCAGTGAATAAAAACAAACTACTTATGAATTTTTTATACTGTAGTTAGTGGACATATATATTAAATAATAAATGTAATATGTAAGCAAACATGATTTGCTTATATATTACATTAGCTGGTGATAAAGTGATTTTGTAAGAAAAAAATAGAGTAAGTTATAAGAGGTAAGGAAGGTAAAGGTAAGACAATGGGATACAATTTCAATTTGGCCAGTCAGGAGAGAAAGTGACATTTAAAAAAGACACAGGACTAATGTTTAGTGAGATTGGTTACAGAAAACCAGAACTTAAAAGAACAACCAAAAATATGAAAAACATTGTCCTCTTTTAGTTGCTTTAAAAAAAACCGCAAGATGACTGATGAGTAGAATGAAAGCAAAGGAGTTCCCGGCCCAACCTTCTGGCCTACTTTTCTATTCTCTGTCCATTACATGAGAGGAGATAGAGTGGCTCTGCTCTGGAAATGAAGGCCTTCTCTAAACACCAGAGCCAGACACATATAAAACCAGGGAGGTTATACTGCTTTGCCCTATTGCCTCAGGCTCTCTATTGCATGCCCTTAGGATATACTACCACTAAAAACAAGTCCAAGGAGTCTCAAACGTAAAATAAAACAAAAATATGAAAACTTAGACAACAGACGTAGAGAGTAGAAACTGAGGCACAAGATGGAGGAATCAAATTGCCTCTCCCTGTATTAGTTTTCTATTGTGTTTCCCCAAAAAAATAACAGCTTCAAACAACAAATCTTCACTACCTCACAGTTTCTGTGGGTCAGGAACATAGGTGAGACTGGGCCACTGCCTCTGGCTCAGGGACTCTCACAGCTGCAATCGAGGAAGTCAGTGAGGACTGCAGTCGCCTTCCACAATCTGCTGGGGGAGAATCCTAAGCAAATGCACTTGGCCATCAGCACGCCTCAGGTCCTCACTGGCTATGGCCAAAGACATAAGTTGTTTTACCACATAAGGCTCTCAATAGGTTATCATGACACAGCAGCTTGTTCCTCCCAGAGTGAATGGTCTCTCTGGGAGAGTAAGAAAGGGCAAAAGGATGCTCAAAATAGAAGCTACTTTTGTGTACGTATGTAAATTAATCACAGAAATGATTTTCCACCACTCCTGTAGTCTCTTCATCAGTAAGTGCACACTGCCCTCAAAGGGAGGGGATTATATAAGGTTGTAAATGCCAGGCATCTGGGATCATTGGGGATCATCTTCCAGTCTGCTTCTCTATCCTTTGCTTTCTTCTCCATCTTTTGCTTTTAGCTTTTCCATCAGAAATTTAGAAACCAGCCCACCGATTCACACTTAAAGTTCAAAGAGTGTATGCAGATTAGGCTGGGTAGAACCCATTCACTTAAGATTCATTTTCATCAAATCACCTGGGCTTTCTGTTCTAACACCTCACTTTTTCCAGTATTCCTGGTAACAGGAGAGCAGACAGATCTTTCCTTAATAACTACCATTTAACACAGCATTTCCTCTCCAGAATTATTCTGAAACTCCAATTCTGAAAAAGAAAGAAGTAAAAGAGGGAGAGAGGAGGAGAAAACGGGATACATCAACAGATCAAGAAAGGGTTAAAGAGTTTAACAACGCTTTTCAGCTGCTCAACCAAAGACTTTTTCAGTTTTTACACACCATGAAAAAATAATTACCTGCTTTAAAACGTGTCTCAGAAAGAGAAGGGACATTTTTGTATTTTTTGACTTGTATACTTTAGTGTTCAATTTTCTATTTAAGTTATTCCACAGTAGATCTTTAAGAATCTTCTATGTCACTAAAATTTATATTAAATTTGTACATGTTCAAGTCTTTTTTTTTGACCAGCTGCCTCCCCTCAGGTCATCAGGGTACCTACCATAACACCTTACTGCCCCAAGCACTGATAGACTGGAATAGAGACATCACCATGGCCAATGGCAATTTATTTTATTGGCCCCAGAAGAGCTCATTTGCCTTCATGTTCTAGCAACTACTACTCTGCTGACTGTTATTCTTTCTAGTTGTGGCCAATATTGGCATTCGGTAAGCATATTTTTTCATGATTTATAACAAAGAGATGAGTGGAGAAAGATAAAATCCATTAAGTTTTGAAGCTAGAATTTGATAATAAGTCTTTCAGAAGCCAAAAAGGCAGAGTAGTACATGTTCACACATATTCAAAGATTTCTTTGAAAGCGTGGTGGTGATATATTTCTACACTTGCTAGTAAATAATTTGCAATTTTGACACAAAAAAATCTTTTGCCACATGCTTCCACTGATAAGTTCCCTGTTAATTCTAATTAATATGATATCAGATAAACTTGTGAAATGGGAAGTTTATTAACTACTGAAGCATTGTTGATGATGAATAGCATGAAAGGTCATGTATCTAAATATATTTTGAAGACAAAAATTGGGATCAGAATTATCCTTCCCAATTAATTTTGACCTAATATTTTTCAGTGCTAACTTTGCCATTCTAATCTCTGTGGACCTTTACCAGTGAGTATAAATGGAGGGAAATAAGGCAAGAAAAATAATGTGAAGCAAAGAACATAAAAGAGGAATAAAAAGGTAGTATGTAAAGTAGCAGTAATAAAAACATTCTACTGTAATCAAAACCTCTCCATGGTTAAAAAATAAATAAATAAAAGTGCTTAAAACCGAAGAGGGCTATATTTATATCATTTCTTCTTCAATTTCAAATGTGGCATAATTTTACTCCGAGGTTTATTAGAAATGCTGAAGGCATCGTTATAACTAGCTTACTTCTATTTTGTTTATATTATGTACCGTGTAATAGGTGGCTAGTCCTCCTCCCGTTGGTTGCTATAAAGCTCAGAAAACAAAATTCAGCTACTTCTAACAAATGAACACATTTTATATAGTATTGTTACTGGTGTATATTAGCCTATTCTCTCGCTGCTAATAAAGACATACCCAAGACTGAGTAATTTATAAAGTGAAGGGGCTTAAAGGACTCACAGTTCCACACGGCTGAGAAGGCCTCACAATTAAGGCAGAAGAGCAAAGAGACGTCTTACACAGCGGCAGGCGAGCGAGCGCCTCTATGGAGGAACGCTCACTTTTATAACCATCAGATCTCGCGAGACTTATTCACTACCACAAGCGCAGCACAGGAACGCTCTGCCCCCATGATTCAATTACCTCCTGCTGGGTCTCTTCCATGGCACCTGGGAATTATGGGAGCAACATTTCAAGATCAGATTGTGAGGGGCGGGACACAGCCAAATCATATCACGGTGGTAATCTGTGGGTGGGTCTGCAGCAACCTCAATTCTTGCCGCCTCAGAAAAGGATTCGACTGAGGGGCTTAAGGCAGGAGAGACTAAAACAAGTTTTCAAGCAGGAATGAAAGTTTATTAAAAAGCTTTACATACCTGAGGAAAAGAAGAAAAGGAAGGAAGGTGCGCTTGGAAGAGAGCCTCATGGGCAACTTGAGAGACCAAGTGTGCTGATTGACCACTTGACCTGGGATTTTATACGCGGGCATAGTTCCGGGATCTTGCATTACATCACTTCTCTCCACTCCTGAGATTTTATTGTGAAGTTGCTGATCAGTTTCAGGTGTTTTCTATCTATTAGGGCGCTGCCCTTCCCTGGCACCAGCTGTGACCCATTATTACTTGAGGGAGATTGTTAACAGCTGCCTATCTCCTGATGGTCACCCCACACCCTTGGAGTGTGGTGGGGGGAAAGCCTGAGGGAGATTGTTAACAGCTGCCTATCACCTGATGGTCACCCCACACCCTTGGAGTGTGGTGGGGGGAAAGCCCTCTCCTGTCCTGCTCACACCTGACTAGCTACCTACTGTAACAGTAGGCATTTTATGTTTTAGTTTCTTCTCTGGATTTAGTTTATTTTTTCTATATCTATTTTCATTTTAGAAAACGGTTTTCATCATATGTATTAATTAGCTATTGCTGCATAACAAACCATCCCAAAACTCAGCAACTTAAAACAGTAAGTATTTAATGTCCTCAATAACCTGTAGGTCATCTGCTGATTGTTCTGGTCTAGGCTTGAATTGGGTGATCTCTATTAAGTTTGCCCACGCAGGTGAGGTCAGCTGGAATGCTTCATGGTTTCTGGCTAGAGTACCTGTGGTTTAATATGAAATATATGTGGTTTTTGTCCCTGGTTATTGTCAAAGAGCTCCTAACATGCTTGGAATTTCCTGAGAGGGATATCTTTATTATTCACAATAAGCCGCTTTGACAAATCCTGAATTTATGCTAATAAGGTGGCTTTGGGTGGGGCCCCTAGAGAGCCCCACGATGGGACCAGTCACAGCCAGAAAGACCAAGTGACTAGAGGATTAGAGGGTTGAACTTTCAGCCCCACCCACTGACCTCTGGGTGAAACTCTGTACAACTCAGGAGATCAAACTCTATAAAAATCCTTGAACAAAACGTGACAGGCTTCAAGGTTGGCGAATACATCCACATGTCAGGATGTTGATGGACCCAAATCCACTAAGACAGCAGCTCCTGTGCTAAGGACCCTTCTAGGCCTTGCCTTATGCATCTCTTCCTCTGGCTATTAAAATCCTTTGAAATATCCTTTATAATAAACTGATAAATGAGTGAGAAGGTACAAATGCTCCTCTCCCACAAACACAAAAAAGGAACAACACAGTAAACAACTACAGTTTGACCAGAGTGACTAAAGGAACGTGCCAGAGTATAGCAAGGGAGTGGCAGAAACCGTGTGGAGCAGAGAAACTCAGGATGGCCCTAAGGAAAAGGGAAAGAAACATCCATCTCCTCTACCTGCCTAACTTACCTGGTAGGTATCAGCTCACAAGCAAGAGAGACTTCTCCCTACAAGGGAAAAGGTGAGTAGGAGGCTCCCAGCAGCTCCCATTACTACAGAGGACAACTGCAGCCTTTGCTACTGGAGGATTCTGTAGTCCTTGCAGGCCCTGAGCCCAGCTTAGGGAGCTGCCTGAAGTTGTAATGGAAGCACTACTCCAGAGGAGAAGCCTGGGTTATGCCTCATTTCCTGTGGCCAGATTGTCACTGCACATGGCATCTTAAAAGTGGAGCCACTGCCAGAAGGTATCCTGCTCCAGGGGCCACTAGCCACTGATCTCTGCATCTCTGAAGGTCTTCCATCATTTCGCATGCTCACATACACAGTGGCGCACCATTCCCCAGCTGAGTTGCTGCAGCCAGATTGCCCCGAGGCACTTTATCTCCCCCAGTCCCACTGCAGATGTGCTCCAACCCACAACTACTCAAAGCCTGCAGAGAAGCTGCTACCACCACCTGCCTGTGCAAGAACCAGCCCTTGCCTAAACCCCATGGGAACTGGAGCTTCAGCCCAGCAGAGCAGTCATGACCCTTATGCCAGAACCCATGCAGCACACTTCCCTCTTGGGACCAAGAGCACCAGCCCCACAGAGCAGCCATACCCCCTGGAGCCTGAGTTGACTGGCAGGCCACTCCTTGTGGAACCAGGAGCTCCGGTCCAGTGGAGCAGTCACAAATCCAGCACCTGAGCCAACATAGCACCCAGACCCCTAGAAATCTGAGTTGTGGCTCAGCAAAGCAGCTGCACCCTAGGTGCGCCAGGCAACATGGTGCCCTGTTCCCTGGTGACCAGAAGCACTGGTCTGGTGGAGCATCTTTACCCCTAAGCTGATATGGTGCCCTACCACCAGAGAAGCCAAGCCTTGATTGGGCTGTGCCACCTCACCCTCTTGGCGGAACAAACCCTGTGCTCCAGGACTTGGCCTAGCCCTTCCAGAGTCTGAGCTGTTGAGGCACCCCACATCCCTGGGGAATAGAGTCATCATTGTGTTGCTCCCCACCCTCAGATCCCAGCACCACTGTGCCTCACTTTCCCTGAGTCCCTGCTACCACTGAATCTAGACTGACAGAACCTGGGTATCTTCTGGGTCTCACCTCCCAACATCCAGGGTCATCACTAGGCAATAGCTCCTCCCTGGGTGCTCAAGTTACCACTGTGCCCTATTGGCACCGAGAGCCAAAGTTGTGCCCAGCTCCCCAGGTCCCAAGCCTCTGAAACACTCCTTCTTCCCTGGAGCTGTGCTAGTGCTGCTGACTGACTCCTAAGATCAGAGTCACAGCTGTATCTACACTCCCTGGGCCCAAGCTACCAGGGAGTGCCTCAGAGTCACATCCCACAGCTTTGTAGGGGAGCTGCATCTACGCATGCCTCAGAGAGTGAACTTGCACCCACAACACAGGTGCCATGAGAGACCTAGTTTAACAGGACACCAAGCATGGGATAGCAGCTTCACAGTCACTCCTATACCCTAGAACACAGTGTAGCTGTGGCCACTGTGGGTCACGTAAGACCAGACACCAAGAGGGATCTCTCCGAACAAGCCTCCTCACTGAGGAAAAAGTGAGAATGAAAGGACAACTAAAGCCCTTGCCACTGAGAACCCTAACAACCTTCACTTTCACTATCACTGCCATGAACTTGTACAGCCTCGGCCACTGAGGTACCCACAGTCACTGCTGACATTGATCACAGTTGAAAAAGCTGAATGGAAGCTATGCCACTGTGGCCACCTAAAACCAGAACCAACACAGACTGCCCTAGGGATACCCTAGGACCCCTCTATTAGTGAACATCTTTCCCTATGGAAGCCACTCTAAATTTACAAGTAAATGGCCCACCAGATATGCAGGTATCAATGGTGCCTAATATATAGCCTTAAATAGTGCCTGTTATATAGTAGGTGTGAAAGGAACCAAATCCATATCCACTTTTAGCTGTCTGTAAGGACTTTTCTCCTTCCCATCACCTGATGCCTGGCAACAAGCCAGCTCACCTACACCAAGACATTTTGCAGAAAGACAGCAGGGCTTTGGGGCAATATCATCACTGTTCCTGGGATTCCCAGTGTTGGAAATAGATGCTCGGTGCCACAAAGAAAAATCAGCACTGAGGCAAAGGATCTTTCAGCAACTCGATCTTTTTTTTTTTTTTTGAGATGGAGTTTCGCTCCTGTTACCCAGGCTGGAGTGCAATGGCGCGATCTCGGCTCACCACAACCTCCACCTCCTGGGTTCAGGCAATTCTCCTGCCTCAGCCTCCTGAGTAGCTGGGATTACAGGCACGTGCCACCATGCCCAGCTAATTTTTTTGTATTTTTATTAGAGACGGGGTTTCACCATGTTGACCAGGATGGTCTTGATCTCTTGACCTCGTGATCCACCTGCCTCGGCCTCCCAAAGTGCTGGGATTACAGGCGTGAGCCACCCCACCCGGCCTCAGCAACTCCATCTTTACTTCCTGGACTACAGGAAGGCTACCCTCGCTAGCCATCATGCCATGAGAGAACAATGAACAAAGGAAAACACACAAATTTATCCCTTACACATTTGGGGTTGTCCTTGCTGCTGTGTCTATTCTCTGTTGGCTGGAGCCAAACCTCACAATCTAAACTAAAACCCAATTGGCTAACAACTTAAAACTTTTCTAAACAGGTAAAAGCGATGAAAAGCTGGGACATGCCTGTGAGAACAACCAGCACAGATATCTTGGTTAAAGTACAAGGACATAGAACGTACTATGTGTCTGTAAGCATCTCATGTCTAATGCTACATATAATAGGGCTTAACAACGTTATTAGCACACTCATTCTTTAACATGAAAGGAAACTTTAAAAAGGAATATTCTGCTTCCCATATCAGCATGCAGATCTGGACCCACCCCAGTATGCATTCTCCCCAGCACTGTGCTGGGTCCAGAGTGGGACCTCTTTCTATTTCTTGCTACTTGAAAGAGTAAGTAGGTGTTCCCTACTCCCTCACTGCGGGCTAAGTTGTGTCCTCCCCAAAATTCATATGTTGAAGTCCTAACCCCCAGTACCTTAGGAGATAGTCTTTGAAGAGGTAATTAACGTTAAAGTGAGGTCATTAGGGTAATCCCAAATTCAATTTGCCTGGTATCCTTATAAGACGAGGAGAATAGGAAACAGGCACTCACAGAGAAAAAGACCATGTGCAGACACGGGGAACCATCTGCAAGCTAAGGAGAAAGGCCTCACTTACAACACCTACACCTTGGACTTCTAGTCT